CAGAAACGGCCAAGCACCTATAAAATTGAGGGCAATCCATGGTCGGCTTGGGATAAGAGCATTTAGGGTTTAGGGTTTAGGGATAGGGGCTTCTAGGGTTTAGGGATCAGGGCTTTGAGGGTTTAGGGTTTAGGGATAGGGGCTTCTAGGGTTCAGGGTTTACGGATAAGGGCTTTTAGGGTTAAGGGTAAAGGGCTTTTAGGACATTACTAGGTATTAGCACTTAAGTTCCTCATCCATCTAGATAGATCCCACACGGACCAGAGCCCTTAATCTGAATATCCCTTCCCTTAAAAGCTGCAAAGCCGGGGAGCCCCCTTTAATTGGGGAAATCCTTTTAAACCACATAAGCGATCCTGATAGAGTATGCTTAAAGGCGTATTCTCTATTCCGCAATTATGGGTCTTTGGCCCTCTGGGCATGAAAACCTTAGCCCTAAACCCTGAAACCCCCTTAAGTAGATAGAATATGGGGTGTAGGGGGATCTTGTTATAATATACCCAAAACCACATTCTGTCTAGATAACGGGGACTACAAACCCTAGACCCTATAAAATACGTGTATATATATATATATTGGGTTTAGGGATGCGTGTCGGGAGCTCAAACAAAAAAGAGTCCAAGCCCAATGGGCCACACGCCCCAATAGCAACCCACCCTTTACTGATGCTTAAGGGAGAGTGGGGGAGTGAATATATAACGTTTGGGGTTTCAGGGCGTGGGGAAGTGAATACGGGGACTATGATAGGGGCATATGCGGGTGATACATAGGTATTCTGACTATTCTTGACTATGATCATTAGGATCCACATCACACTCCCTTAAGCACCAATAAGATCCATGCTGCAGGCCGTCAGAATCATAGTCCCCTTCTGCATTCAGATTATAATGTGGCCCCTAATATTTAGGACACCCAAAAAGGAACTAGAATGTTGACGGTAGTTGCGAGTAGGAGATTACTGAACCTCATTTGGTCGGCGAATGCCTTCCTTAACGACTGACGTGCGCTGTTCGCTGCCGCTGTCCAGGACCCTAAACCTTAGACCCTTACACCCTTGCCGGAAAGGCTGGCAACCCTTAACCCGTTGTAGGGACTGGTCAGTAGCTAGTCATGCACCACCCTGCAGCCAAAAAAGACGACCCAAACGGATGCTCGTCCTGTTACTGGGTGTACGCGCAGGCCACCACGAAGCCGTTAGCCGGTGATAAGTAATTTTCTAATGCTGTATACTAGGACACGACTATACGGAACTGTACGTGGGCTATTCGATAGTATTAGAATTTTGGCGTTTCCCTCTCCATGTGAGCCATGGTCAAACTCCTAGTATCCCTGCATAGCCCCCATAGTAGTCCCTATCTTGAATCCCCCATCAAACCCCCCCTTCAAGGAGTTTAGACTATAGTAAATGTAGCCCTGAAGCCTATAAACCACTACATCACCCCAGTTTCCATGTCATTGTCCATTTTCCTTTTTCCGTGTCATGTGTGTGGCTCTCCATTGTTGGTTACGACAAAAACTTTTCCCCTGCCCAGATGAAACCCTGACAGGTCCAGGTAATGCCAACGTGAAGTTAGTGGTCTGACGTTTCCGAGGCCCGAAGATCTTTTGGGGTTTGGAGCTTGGAGTATGAGGATTCCAAGACCTAGGCATGGCTCTAAAATTTGTCGGACTCTGTAGGATTTGGTGCTCAGGGCTTACCCAACCCCTTGCAGATGTCCTCCACGAGGACAGGAAGGGGAAGCACCTGCGCGACACATGCACTAAGACTACGATTTGGGTCAAGAAAAGCGGGTTCGATAGGGTCTAAAAAGAAAGAAGAGCAAGACGGATTCTCTGTCGAAGGCAGCCATACTCTAGGGCTCCAAATGAGAAAAAAAAACTAACTACTTTTTACCCTGAAGGGTACCAATTAAACTTATTCTGGGCAATTTGAAGCCCTAAACCCTAAACCCTACAGATAAGATGGCCACCTGCACCGTGTTTACCCGCAGTCAGGGAGGAGCTGTGCTGCTCCTCCTAGAGTTGGTGACTGAGCCAACAGAAGAATCCTGATCGTAACGAAAGAAATCCCCTCGCCCTGAATTATAAGGGTTTATGTTCTTCCCCAGTTATTATAAGGGTTTAGGGCTTTTCCCCTGATAGTAAAATAATGTACCAGGGAGGGATGACTAGATTTAGGGTTTAGGGTTTAGGGGGTTACCTGGGCAGGACCCTTCGTACGACTTACACTGGAAGCATGCAATTTCAGCAGGGGCAATGCTGCCTAGGCCCCTGAAGCCTAAACCTTAAGCCCAAAACCCTAAACCTTAAACCCTAAACCTTAAACCCTAAGCCCTAAACCCTAAACCTTAAACCCTAGACCCTACACCCCCCCCCCCCCAAACAATAAAACTCCAGTGCTTAGACAAGTTGCAGATCCTAGGCCCAAAGGGTCCATCTAGCTCTATCGTACATACTTAGGGCCCGGCCCACAGGCCCAAAGGGTTCCCATGTAACTACTTCTGGGCCCAAGTATATGCCATATAGCTACACGGACCCTTTGGAAGGATGCTGCGTTTGCTGCTGGGCTTTTGGGGCTTGGGGTTTGTGCGGTGAGTTTGGTCCAGGAATTACGCAACGTCGCGTAATGCCCTGATGCGAGACATTAAGCTACCCCAGCTGGTAAACCTAACCACAATGGATCACCAGAATGTATTCAGGGGATCCTGTTATTTCAGGGGGAGGGGATTGGGGGCTCATCGTTAGGGGAGAGGTGGTAAATTCAGAGACCGACATTTTCGAGACTGCCCCGGGCTGAATTTACCTATCTGGTTAGCAAGGACTGAAGGAATGGATCCGTACAGTAGCCTAATAGTCCCTAGACAATTGCCCATATTGTTTTTTCGATGCAATTTTTTGTCCATTCCTTCATTGCCTGCTAACCAAAGGTAAGTATACAGCGTCCCAATATCACTTGCCAAAAGGTCCCCCAACAGTAGACAGGAACGTATGGATTATCCCAGACCTACCCTTCCTTTCCCAGTAAAAACTCAGTCTCGCGGTGCCCTCCAGCGCCCTGAACGGCCCTGAACCCTAAACTCTTCCCTGGCAAAAGACTGCCTTGCTTGTTTGCTTTTCTGTAAAATAAGCCCTCCCCTTCTTCTTTAGCTGGGACCGTCGTGTGCTGACGCCCCAAAGGAGCAATAGCTTCACCCTGAGCCGGTAAACGCCGTAAACCCATAACTCTACAATCCCTAACCCTGAAACCCTAGCCCTATCCTCCAAAGCTAAGAATATAAACCCTTAACCCGAAATCGTTCCTGTGCCGGTGAAATGTGCTCTGGCGCCGAGAGTGTGTAGGGTTCAGAGTTTAGGTTTCTAGGCTTTAGGGTTTAGAGTTTAGGCTTTACGGTTTGTGGGTCTCAGGGTTTAGGGTTGCTTTGGATAGCTATAGGGCCCCTACCCTATAACATATAGGACCCATACGCAGGGGATAGAAGCTCACGACTTACAACACTGAAAAGACTGTTACAAGCCGGAGGCAGTATCCCCAGAAGATCCTAAGCACCTGTATACGAGATACTTACCCAAACCTTTTAACTCATTCCTACTCTGGAAACCCCTAAACCCTAAGCCCTAATCAAACCGTAAACCCTAAGCCCTAAAACCTAGACCCTAAACTCCAATCCAGAGCAAGCTAACACCCTGGTTTCTGGGGATCGCTTCAGGGGCGTCTTGGGCCTGGAAGGCCGACGATCTTCCTCAACCAGAGCCTGAGACTGACTGGAATGAGTAGAGGATGAGGGAACGTATGTTAAGGGTTTGGATTAGGAGGACCCCCCACCCTGTAATAGTGGTATAATAGGAATATAAGAGGACCCTCATATAATCCTGATTATCCATAATAGTCACTATTACTGGGTGGGGGGTCCACCTAAGTTTTGGGTAATGTAATATCAGAGGGATACATCCCTACTGAAGGCATAATATAGAGATTTATGTCCACTTTTTCTAAGGTGAGGGTATCGTAAAGAATGGGATCAGTTTCTCAGAGGGTCCCTGTATCCAATAATTGGTTACTTGCGATTTGGGTAGTAGTACTTGTGGTACGGGTTTTGGGTAAGTATATGATTCTTGGGTACTTGAACCCTAACAGGTGTGGTTGTTGTTTTTCTTTCTTGGCCCAATCAGCACCAATTCCTGTTCCCAGAGCACACTGAACCCTCAACCCTAAACCCTAACTCCAACCTTAGGAAGTGTGTAGCAGCATCCCACCCTCTAGCCCGCACTGCAGCTGCTTCTCAAGACCTTCGCATGCTGAGTTCATCCAACACCCTATTAGAAAACAGTTGCTCGGGAGTTTCTGAAATCTGGGGACATGCAATCTTGAGTGCCCCCCCGCCACTCCTGCCAGTTTTTGCAGAGAATCCCATAGGTTTGGCATTATAGTCTCTCCTCTCACCAAGTCTCTTCTAAGCCGGAATCCCCACAACTCACCACTTTCCAAAGGTTTCTCGGTGTCTTTCATCTGCGTGAATCCCCAAGCTTTTGCGAATCTTCTGGGTCTTTCAGGGAACCTGCCCGGAATCGATGAACCCTGTGTTGCGGACAAGTGCTGACAAACTTTTCTGCTGCGACAGCAAGCACCCTCTGGCAGGTGGAATCCGCCCACTTTTAAGCGGATTCGTCGCTTGTGCCCCCAATAAAATCAACCTGAGGTCTGAAGTAGCCAAGGGCAAAAACAGGGTGTGTGTATGTGTATAATATATATATATATTCATATGTACAGATAAATAAAAGGTATGTATATAAAAAATCATGCATATATATATATATACAAATGTATGTATTCATTTCCCTGTATCTAATGGCCTTACATCAAACTGTGAAGCCCCAGGCTTAGAGGCTTTCTTTAGAATAGTAAAATCACGGTAGCAGAATTCTGTCTGGAATGTGATGATTGGACCAACTACAAACTTACACACAACTTTACCCTAAACCCTAAATCTACTTCTGGGAACGGCAGTCATCCCGAACCAGGCAATGCCGAGCACAATGATGAGGGCCGCTGCTATGTGGACAGCAATGGAGTGGAATTCCAGGCTGTTACAGAGGTACTTTGCTTCGCTCGTGTGGCCTGGTGGGAGATTATGCAATTAGATAGGGGTCTTATTATAGGGCTTATCAACGGGAGATAAGGACTTTACGGTATAAGTTTCTCTTTAAGTTTGGTACCCCTGAGCCGCATAATGAGGACACCATAGCTGGCATGTGACTAGAACTGGGTGCTTGGGTTGGGGTTGGGGTTACCAAAACCTTGTTTTTGTTGACGGTAGCTGTCGTACAGCAACCTTATCTCATATTTGAAGAATTAGCGCTCAGACTCTACCATGACTTTGGTTTGTTGCAGCCAGCTAACAAGATCCAAAGCATAAGCTCTTGCTGGAAATTGCCCAGCGGCCGGGATCAGCAGTTTCACTTTTCACATGTAGTATCCTGGGTTGGGCACGAAACGCCTTGAAAACTGTGGAAAGGTAACCTCCTGCGTACAGCCCCCACGAGAAAAGCCAAACCTGCGTCAGTTCAATCCACCCATGGGCCCTAAACCCATATCCCCTACTCGGAACCCTTTAGATGAGGTCTACTAAGCAGGTCTTCTTTTTAGGGGTCCATCCAAAAAGGACAGTACTGGTTCAATCTAGCTTCTTCCTGTGGAGCCGGATCGCCAAGCATCCAACACACGCAGGGAACACAAACTGGCCAACATTCAGCGGAAGGCCCATGAAGAGCGCCATGAGTCTCCAGGGCTTGTCGGATTTATATGCGACATGCAGAGTACACGTAGAAGTTAGGGTCTTAAGCTCGAGAGCATAGGATTTCAGTGCAAACGTCTTAAAACCTCTAGCCTCTGGCGTTTGGGCAACATGCCTCAGCGCTAGGGATGGTCATGTAGGGCCTCTATTGGAAGAGGCAAGCGATTGAAAAGGCTGGTAGCAAGCAAATTGGAATTGAGTAATCCATGTTCAACCCCCCCAAGATCAAATCTTTCCCCCACAGGGTTTTAAATGTTGGACATAGAAACTTGAATATTGGGGGACAAACGGTGCTTAATTATGGAGTGAAGGGATTGCGTACGGATAAAGTGGCCGAGTACTGCATGGAAGTTTGTTAAGCCTATAGACGTTTTGAAGAAGCCTACACAGCTACCACCCCCTATGGTGGACGGAGGACATTTTGCACCACTTAAAGAGTCACAATCATTTTACTATTGTTGCTATTATTGTTTGTTTGGCTGAAAGATTTCCTCCATCCAGGATATCTCACCCTAAACCCTAAACCCTCAGTATGTTTCAGAAACCTGCAAGCTCCCGCGCCTGCGCTTGATTCTCATGGACAGAAGCAGATGCGAAAGGCAGGCGGTGACAAGAAGCACCTGAGTCGGGTCTGGACAAGGCGGGTCTTGCAGTTTTTGCTGACAGTTTTGCGAGGGTTTAGGGTTTAGGGTTGGGATCTATATCAGCCTTTGTTTAAACGTCTAGTATCCCCCTTTTTAATCCCTATAGTAATCCCCTTTCATTTCACAATCCGCATATATAACCCCCTTTCAGGAGTTTAGGTTATAGCTCCTTTAGGATTGGGGGTCCGGGGGCTTGAGGCCTGCTTCGAGCTTAGAGCTTTTTCGCCATGGAATGGTGCGAGTCCTCGGAGCTGTGTAGATGGTAACAGCAGGAGCACGTGTACACTTACACGTTGAACGCCGCGAGGGAGCAAGGGTAGCAAAGTAGCCGATAGGGTTGATAATGTAGACCCATAATTCATAAACCTTGCAAGGGCCTGGATATTAGGATCCCTATTATAATCTAATAATCCCTATTAAGGGGAAGGGGTTTATTAATCAGAAGTCTGGGTTAATGAGTTCCTTCCCCCAAACTCCCTGGTGCTTGATTCAGGGGGAGGGTGCAAGAGGATCCCGGTGATCTCGATAATGATATCAGAACCGGTAAGTTCCTTTTTCACTTCCCCGCAGGCCACAGCGCTCCGTTCCTGAATGCCCAAAACTCATCCTGCAATTACGTTTTCCGGAGTACCCGAACCCTTGGAAACCTGAACTCCGAACCGTGGGTAAGTGGAGTCTTCTCCATATGCCCGAAACACTATAACCCTGAGTATACAAGGGGGCCTACTATATACTAGTTGTCTCAAACCCTAAACCTGCATAACGTATCCCTACCCATCGTCATAATTCTCCCGCAATACTGCCCTACAAAAGAACCCGTAATGGTCAAAACGTCCCCGACTTACCCTAAACCCTAAACCGTAAACCCTGATTGAGGACTCAGGGCACTTTGGTGGCAATCTTCCACACTTGCTGTCTGCGTACAGCCCAGGCCAATTGCAGCTGCAAGCCTGGAGTTCGTTCTAGTTTAAGTAGATTAGAGTTCTGGTTTAGTGTTGCCCTACTACCCCCCTCTATACTACACCCCCCCCACCAAGATTTCCCCTGGATTAACCTTAATCAAACCGAATTATCCTTAAATGATTTTAATTAACTGGGGAACCTAGGCGGGGTAGTACAGGGGGGGTTTTAGGGGAGCCCGTGTGATTAAGGAAATTTGGAAAACCTGAAACCGCAAATAAAAACAAATAAGTACCCTAACCCTAAACCGAGGGTTTGGGCTATAAAAAAAAGCCTTTCCACAACCTAAGTCACAACCAAAAACAATTCCTACAAAGATTTTCAAAAGCAAACCGATGTTATTTGGGATTCCATGTTATCTTCGGGCAGTGGAGGGCTGACTTGCCGGAATGTAGAACAAGAGTCGTATTTTTTTGCAAGGCCTGGTATGCGACCATAGTTGAAGCGTTTCATAGGGGTTGAAAGAAGGGCCAAACCTTGAGTGGTGTATGAGGCCTCCTGAAGCATGGTTCTACGCGCTGAGAACGCGGCCTGCCCCATGAGTTGGTCAAACGAAGTATATTGCCAAAAGCGAATGAACTTTATAATCCACAGACAAAACCCCTACCCTTATCGCCAACTATTCTAATGCCTCGTACAGTAGGGCCTTTGTTGCAAGTGTACTATGAAGCCAAAGCATGTGATAACCAGCAACCTAATCATCCACATCATCCTCAACCACACGAACCCTGAACCCTACATCCTTGGGAACTATATGGAGGTTTCCCAAAATTAGGGGTACTGTTTTGGGGTCCACAGAAAAAGGTCTTTGTTGATTTGGGGTCTATATTGGGGTCGCCCTATATTGGTGTCTCCCTGTTTAGGGAAACTCCCATAAACGGACTGCTATTGGGAAGGGTTCATCCTTAAACCCCCGAGACCTACTCTACACATTCCTTGCTATGCGGGGTCGCAAGTTCTGCCGACATTAAATACCTGAACAGCCCCTTCAAGTAATGTTTCTGGTGTATTACGTAGTTTAGGTGAAGCTCGCAGATTTGGGAGCTTCTCAAATGCATACCTACGCAGTCTGAAAGGTGGAACCCCGATCCATCTCCTTATAACCTCCCATATATCTCTGGAGTACTCAAGAGTTACCCCTCATATTGAGAAACCCTACAGTAAACCCTAAACAATGCCAGGCGTAGATGGTGGCCTGGGGATTCATCCAGCGAGATAAGTGCCTCAAACTCCCGGTACAGAGGCCAGAAAGTCAATGGAAAAGTTGTACAGGTCCTGCACCGTGTCATGGGATTGCTAAGGGTCACTTTGGAACATTTTTTGTCGTTTAGGGTTTAGGGAAAAGCATCAAGAGAGATTGCTAAGAAGCATATTATACAGGCTGTGAGTTCGAGTGAGACTAGTGTGTCACAAAAGCGTTTCAATACAACAAGCGCTGCCCCCAGAAGAATTCTGAATGCCAGCAGGCATCTTCACGACAAAGAGAGCGCTGATGATTCGAGCAGCATTTTGATACCAGAAGCCCATCATCATCATGTGCTGCAAAGGCGTGTGTTTCTCCTAAGTTATTGTGCCATATCGAAAATGTAATGCACTCCTTCGAAAGAAGGGCAACTCTATACCGAAAATCATCAACCAACCGCAGCCTACACCTCACAAAAGCATAGATCCTAAGCCCAAGCTTCAATGCTATCTGCCCAGCCAAAATATCCGATCATTGCGACCAGGAGGTAGAAAATCATGATCCTCCAGCCGGGTTAAAGCTTTCAGGACCCTTTGAAGGGCAGGTCTCATGCGAAGAGCTGGAAGCCAACCAGTCCATACCGGAATGGTTTACTCAGTTGTGGTCTCTAATCTTTGGGTTTAGGGAACTTTGGATGTGTAGGATTACACGCTGCAAACTGGCTTGTGCGGTATATGTCGGGGCACCCTAATTTGATGAAGGCACATATGCGTACTGGCTCTTAATAGGGAATAAGGGAATATATTATACCGGGACTATATATAGGGATTCTATTCCCTTATTGCCTACTAAAACCCAGTAAGTATGAGGGGGAATCTCGTATGCAGGAACAAAGGCGATGCCGGCTACCGAGGCCACACGACTAGGTTTAGGGTTTATGGCTTACACGGGACCATTATGCAAGGCTCTCATGCGAGATAAGATCCGCTGCAAAAAATGCGGAATGATCCTGACTCTGTGAAAAGACCTTGTACAATCAGATATATATTATGCACACATATATATACATATGCACAAATACATATATATATATATATGTATGTGTGTAGGTCCAATTCATTCTGAGGACCCACAAGCAAAGTGACCTCCTCCCCCCCCAGTTCTGGGAATCCAATGTGAGAGTGACATCTCCGTTCACCTCGCCAAGTTAGCAACAAAGATTGCCGGTCCCCTGGGGGTCCGCAGACTGAGAATTCTTTGGGTTTAGGGCTTAGGAGTCCACTACTTGGGAAACTGCCACTTATACTGCAGATTGTGAAGACGAAAGCGCTCATCGCTACTTATGCCTGTAAAACCATGCATCACCACCACCTTAGAAGAATCAGAAAGATCATGTTGGGACGTTCAAAACTGCTAGCAGTGTTAACTGCATGGTACCCTGAAAGCCCCAGAAATTTTTGAATATTGGTCAGTTTTGCGACAGAAAGGAACATTGCAAAAAACATCCCAAAGTGCATCCCAGCTAATGACCAGTTATTCTTTGTTTCCTATAATAAATTAGGGCCCCACCTTGTTGTGGCTTTGAGAACTACCTTCTTGGCGTTGCGAGGGTTGAGCATGTCCGCCAGGACATAGGGCAGAATAGCAACGCCCCCGAAAGCCATACCCATGTCGAACAAGCCTCGGAAGGTAGCATATGACTAGGTTTGTACATGGCTATGCAGCTGGTATAATAATGGTCGGAGATTTATAGGAATCTTCTGGGTGTTATTTGCAACAATGAGTATTGAAGTACAAACTCAAGAACAAAGCTTGAAACTCGACCGAAAAGGCCAAACAAATGGCCGAGAGACCTTGCGGGATCTGCTTGCCCACCATGACATAAGCATTCCTTACTGTTGCTTAAAAACTAGTGGCGGAGGCGATCCCTACAAAGGAGAATCAAATGGCAAAGACAATAAATGATGAAATGGAAACTCATATCCTAGACCCTCTTCCTACCCTCTATCAGGGCCTAAGTACCCACTATTAGGAACCNNGTACTAGGAAGGTCCTGGATCATATGGGGGCTTATGCCCCTGTTAACCACCAGCAAGATTCGGATGATCGGAGGTCAGAGTCGCAATGCCATGGATGGAAGCACAGATCATCTCAACGACTCCGATCCTTGATAGGCAGCCTCTGGGCGCGTACCAAACCATAAGATAATAGGTGTAAGTACCCAGTACTTAGGTGCTTGGAATTTTGCTCATGGCATTTGAAATACAGTTTTGAGAGGGTATACGATCATTGGCCACATGAACCCACCCTTAAGGATAGAATCGCCCCCCACCCCCCCCCCCGCCCCCCTGGCCCCAGATTACACTACAATACACATTATAGGTATCCCCAAAGAGGCCCAGAATGTTAGGCAACCTCGGGATTAGCAGCACACTAAACAGGTCCCCTGCCATTTCGGAGAAAAAAAGAAACAAACAACCAATCTGAAAAAAGCTTGCACAATGAGTTTGTCCGAGCTACATACTCTTTTGTATGGCAAAATTGAAATACATGTTTGGGCATGTTCATGTTTCTGGGGGGCATACCTCAAAAGAAAGGCAAGAAGTAAGCAGACGCCATGCCTCCGAAGCCAAGACTCTGAATCCTTCAGTAGCACTCACCCACATCCTTGCAGACACCCCCCCCCACAAAAATGGAAGCCAAGAGTCCCCAGCATGGAGTAGACTGCATATGAAGCCTTACTCTGAAGATCCTTTGCACTGGTTTTCAGGGATAGAGGAACGATGACAATGGCCATCAGAATGCATCCCACGATCTTCCAGCCGAATGGTGTCTCCAGCCTCTCCTTGCATGGCAACAACCTCTGAAAGCTAACGATCCCCAGAGCAAGGAGGATCCCCTGCGAAAGGGTAGACAAAGTGCTAAGCAGCAACTAGTCCGCCTATGGAGGGACGTAACACTCACTCAATGACCATGAGGCGTCGTCACGAAAAGCTCTGCGACCTTAAGCCTGAACACTCTACAAAGCCCTAAACCCTAGAATGTGTAGGCGAACCCTGGAAGATGCTTCAACCGCGGGTATGCCTGGCTTAAGCAAGTGTGTGGTTTGCAATGCTGTAACAGTTTATATCGGGTGCCATATTAAGGGCTATATACAACAATA